AACGGGGATGCCGTTGACTGAAGAGGAGGAGGAGGAGAGGGAAGAGGCGGCGTTCAAAGGGGAGGCTGTGAGGGAGAAGGGCGACGGGAGCGGCGCGCTTATACTCCTTTTAGGTGACTCGTTACAGGAGCAGTTTGTGCGCGTGCTGGTGAACAACATGCTGACGCACGTAAAAAAACCGGCCACGTGGGCGGTAGAGGAAACCATTCCCAAGGAATGCAGCGAGCTGATCGAACCGGACCATGCAAGGCACTCCTTCTGCCGCGACTACAAGCTGCACAGCAACGTGTGCGCCAATGTCACCATCAGATTCATTCGCCACGACTACCTCCAGCTCTCCAACTCGCAGGTCAAATTTGACCGCGTCCCCTTTGCCCGCCTCTCTTTACTCGCCGGCGCCCGCGTGGTGGTACTCAATCGCGGCGCGCACTACCGTCCGGACCGGCATTTCATCTCAGCCGTCCGTTCGACGGTGAGATTTCTCCGGAATAAGCTCCCCGACGCGCTCTTGATCTACCGAACCACCGTGCAAGGCCATGCCAACTGCTCGGAACACGACAAGCCGCTGCTCGTGCCGGGTCCCACCGACAACCTGCCGTTCTTCTGGGGGAGGTTTCACGAGCAGAATGAGCTGGCGCGGGCGGCAGTGGAGGAGGTGGGCGGCGTGTACTTGGATGTAGCGGCCATGACGGTGCTTCGGCCGGACTCGCACCAGGGGTTCATTCCAGAGTTGAATCATGAGGACTGCTTGCACTACTGCATTCCCGGGCCACAGGACGTGTGGGCTCAGATGCTACAGAACGTGCTGCTGCAGTTGCTGCCAGAACCAGCGCCTGCTGCTGCTGCTGCTGCTGCTGCTGCTGCTGCTGCTGCTGCGTAGATGATTGGATGGTGGTTGGGTTGGATGCTCGTGGCAGTTGATTACTGCTGTTCGTGCTGCTTCGATGGCTATATTATGTTGCATATCGTGCTTACCGTATATCTCTTTATGGTGTTGCATCTGATGCTTTGTTGGGTGGGTGTCTGTGGTGTGGTGTGGTCATCACTCACCTTGCGCTGGCCATCACTCACCTTGCGCTGGCCATCACTCACCTTGCGCTGGCCATTACCCTCCTTGTGTAGGGCCAGCTCACCTTGCGGTTAGTGGCAATAACTTTGCAGCACTGATTGAGGGTCAAGACTAATAACAATTAACTAATGATTGACAAACAAGTCATTGATGGACAGTTGACTAGTTTATGTGCATTACAAACAATCAATATAAAAACGTAACAGATTACAAAAGGCCTAGCCTATTTGCAAGATGCCTTGCCTATTTGCAAGAGGCCTTGACTATTTACTGGCACAATGAACCATTAAAAAGAGTACATTATATCAAGGTAGAAGCCTTGGTGCGGGAAATATACATGATCACATGACTAATGAAGAAACAGATGGCAATAGGGACTCATGCAGGCCTGAGGTTGTCAACCACTCAGCCTGGACCCCACAATCTTATCCTGGAGTTTCCAGACATCTCAAAGAAACCGTAACTGAAGCAGAGACTTGAAGGTGACTTGAAGCTTGGGAGACTTGAAGGTGACTTGAAGCTTGGGAGACTTGAAGGTGACTTGAAGCTTGGGAGACTTGAAGGTGACTTGAAGCTTGGGAGACTTGAAGGTGACTTGAAGCTTGGGAGACTTGAAGGTGACTTGAAGCTTGGGAGACTTGAAGGTGACTTGAAGCTTGGGAGACTTGAAGGTGACTTGAAGCTTGGGAGACTTGAAGGTGACTTGAAGCTTGGGAAAGGAAAGCACTCCTCCAGAGACATTACCCTGACTGTTTTTGAGGCGCCTCGAAAACAGAGACGAGTTTTGAGGCGCCTAAAAAACAGAGGCGAGTTTTGAAGCCCCTAAACAACAGAGGAGAGTTTTGAGGCGCCCAAAAAGCAGTCTCAGAAGCTGTCTTGCAGCTCGGGAAAAAGCTCCTCGAGCGATATCCCCCCAACTGTCCCTGTGCCATCCTCAGGCTCCCCGTGAATGAGGCTGTGATGGGGTGCTGGGATGGTGTGGTGGGAGGGTGGAGGGTCAGTTGGCTCTAGGTTACTCTCAAGGGCCACTTGATGGCTCAAGCTTTGATAGTGAGGTGGAAGGTCAGTTGACCCTTGGGTTGACTCAAGGGCCACCCTGGTGTTCCAGCTATGGTGGGGCAGTGGAAGGCCCGTTGACTCTAGGGTTGACTCTAGGGTTGGCTCAAGCGGTCCAGTGGCTGCTGGCGTTGACTGGAGAGGCAGGCCGCGGGTTAAGGGTTGGGATGGAGGGTCAGTGGTAGGTGCTGTATAGGGGGCTGGCACAGGGTTGTTAGTCCAGGTGGGTTCTCGGTTAGTCCAGGTGGGTTCTCGGTTAGTCCAGGTGGGTTCTTGGTTAGTCCAGGTGGGTTCTTGGTTAGTCCAGGTGGGTTCTTGGCTATTCCAGGTGGGTTTTTGGTGGTGAAAAGGCGGTGGGTCTAACTGGCTGGATGGCTGCTGCTGGAAATGCTGCTGTTTTTGCCGTTTCACCTGGTTTTGCACCTGCTGTCCCCCCTGTTGCTGCTGTTGCTGTTGCTGTTGCTGTTGGTGTTGCTGTTGCTGTCGATGCTGCTGCTGCGTAAATTGCAGCTGCAGTTGCTGCTGCTGTCCCTGTTGCTGCAGTTGCTGCTGCTGTCCCTGTTGCTGCAGTTGCTGCTGCTGCCCCTGTTGCTGCAGTTGCTGCTGCTGCCCCTGTTGCTGCAGTTGCTGCTGCTGCCCCTGTTGCTGCAGTTGCGGCTGCTGCCCCTGTTGCTGCCGCTGCACCAATTGCTGCTGCTGCCCTTGCTGCTGGTGCAGCGCTTGAACCTGCCGTATCTCCTGCCTCTGCGCCCACACTTGCACCTCTACCTGCTGCCGCTGCCGAGGTTGCTGCTGCTGCTGCAGTTGCTGATGTTGCTGCTGATGTTGCTGCTGCTGCATTTGCTGATGTTGCTGATGCTGTAGTTGCTGCTGATGTTGCTGCTGCTGCGGTTGCTGCTGATGTTGCTGCTGCGGTTGCTGCTGTTGTTGCGGCTGCGGTTGCCACTGCGGCTGCTTCTGAAGTTGCTGGTCCTGCTGGTGCTGTCGTGGTTGCTGTTGCTGCGGCTGCTGCTGCCACTGCTGTTGACGCTGCTGAAGCTGCTGCTGCTGCTGCTGCTGCTGCTGCTGCTGCTGCTGCTGCTGCTGCTGCTGCTGCTGCTGCTGCTGCTGCTGCTGCTGCTGCTGCTGCTGCTGCTGCAGGGCCAAGAGGATCAGCTGGCATGAAACCTCAAGGGCCTCATTCTTCCCCGAACCAATAATCGCCCGACACGACGCCTCTAGTGCTGACAGATCAGCATTGCGATTCGATGTTGACACGTCAGCACCACGATTTGATCCTGACAGGTCAGCATCACCACCACTTGACAGATGAGCCTGTGCTTTCAGGTTTGGGGATTCAGCCCCGGGCCGAGCCTGTGCCTGGGTTTGGGAAGGCTCGGTGGGAGGGGAAACCGAAGGGGCAAGTGACTGGATCATCTGAGGGACTGGATAGATCACTGGAGGGACTGGAGCTGACTGTGTTGACTGCGTTGACTGCACGGACTGTTCTGGCTGCATTGGTTGCGTTGACTGCATTGACTGTACTGGCCATTCTGGCAGCAGGGGCCGCACAGGTGAAGAGGGTTGCATAGGCCACGTTGACTGCCTTAACTGCATCGACTGCACTGACTGCGTTGACTGTGTTGACTGCATTGACTGCGCTCGCTGCAGTGGGGCTGCGGCTTGGAAATCCTGTGTGGGCAACTGGGCCGGCAGAGACAGCGGCATGTGTGCTGGCTGTGGGGGCAGGGAGGGGTGTTGCTGCAGCAACGGGAGGGAGGGATGTTCATGCAGCAAGGGTGGGGAAGGGTGCTGCTGCTGAGGCAAGGTTGGGGCACTTTTCTCCACTTTTTGAGTCGACTCAAAAATCGACTGCTGGAGAGGCAAGGTTGGGGCACTTTTCTCCACAGGCTTGGGTGCCTGCCGGGGTGGCACAGGCGTGTTCATGGGCAGCATAGCGAGAGCAGGGGACGCATTTGTCTCGTGAATCAGTGGGCCTCGATGGCCCTGCTGGTTCTGCTGATGCTGCTGTGACTGCTGTGGTTGCTGGGTATGCTGATGCTGGATGTGGTAAGTCGGCTGGCTACGCTCGAAGCCCTCTGCTTGCAAGGGGCGCACGTGATCCGACCTAGCGGCCTCCTGCAGCAGCAGCGACACATACCCACTCCTGGTCTCATTCCCTTGTGAACCATTTCCCTCCATCGCATTACTTCCCTCCGCGGCGTTTTGCCCCCAAGAATGGTTCCCCTGGGAAGCACAGCTAGCAGAGGCCCCCAGGCGACTGGCAGGAGACTGGTCAGTGAATGTCACGTGGTCGTTACGGCTGGCGTTCGTCTCAGGGGCTTCCACCTCCTGGGCTGCTAGCCGCTTCGTCTGAGGTGCTTCTAGCCGCTTCGTCTGAGGTGCTTCTGGCCGCTTCGTCTGAGGTGCTTCTAGCCGCTTCGTCTGGGCTTTAGGCTGTTCCGCCTGCGCCTCTGACTGCCTCGGCTGCGCTTCTGACTGCCTCGACTGCGCTTCTGGCTGTGTTGGCTGTGCTTCTAGCTGTTTCCTCTTATGCTGCTTCTGCCTGGGCTGAATGGGAATGTCGACTGGCTGGAGGTTGAAGAGAGGAGAGTGGTCCGTGAACGTGTTGAGGTGGTTAGCTAGCTTGTCCTTTCTGCTGAAGGAGTTTCCACAGGAGCAGTGCCACCGCTTTACACCGCACTGTTTTTCGTGCGATCGCAGGTCCGACTGAAGGGCGAAGGACTTGACCTGAGGGGAAGGGAGAGGGGGGAAATGTGGGGAGGAGAGGAGAGGAGAGGAGAGAAAATACAAATAAGAGGATTACCTGGAAATAAGAGCACATGAAGGGCATGGCACCGGGAGAGGAGAGTGCCAGAAAAGCAAAAGTGGTGGATCACCTGGCAGCGGGAGCACGTGAAGGGCCTGTTGCCATGCACGCGGAGGTGGTGGGTGTGCAGCGAAGCAAGGGACTTGAGCGGACGGAAGCGAGCATGGTGCTCGTTGTGCTGGCAGCCTGGCTCGGGGCAGGAGAAGGCTGTGGGGGAGGAGCTGAGGGGATAGGGGCGGAGGGAAGAGAAGAGGAAGAGGAGAGGTGGGCAAGGTGGAGAGGATGATTCAAGGGAGGAGCGAGCGTGGTGCTCGTTGTGCTGGCAGCCCGGCTCAGGGCAGGTGAAGACTGTAGGGGGAGATGAAGAGGAGAGGAGGGCCAGGGGGGAAGAAGAGGAAGATGAGAGGAAGATGAGAGGGAGAGGAGAGGAAGAGGAGAGGGAGAGGAGAGGAGAGGCGGACAAGGGAAGAGGATGAGGCCAGGGAGGAAGCGAGGGTGGTGCTTGTTGTGCTGGCACCCAGGCTCGGGGCAGATGAAGGCTGTAGGGGAGGAGGTGAAGGGGTGGGGGCGGAGAGGAAAAGAAAGGTGGAGGGAAGAAGGGAGAATGAGCTGGCTGGTACTTGCTGGAGAGGAGAGGAATGGGGGGGAGAGGAATTGGGGGGAGAGGAATGGGGGGAAGAGGAATGGGGGGGAGAGGAATGGGGGGGAGAGGAATTGGGGGGAGAGGAATGGGGGGGAGAGGAATGGGGGGGAGAGGAATGGGGGGGAGAGGAATGGGGGGGAGAGGAATGCGGGGAGAGGAATGGGGGGGAGAGGAAGGGGGGGAGAGGAATTGGGGGGAGAGGAATGGGGGGGAGAGGAATGGGGGGGAGAGGAATGGGGGGGAGAGGAATGGGGGGGAGAGGAATGGGGGGGAGAGGAAGGCAGTTTATCCTCCTTGTGGAGGAGCAGAGAGCAGACATAGGGAGGGCCAGAGGTGGGAGGAGCAAAGGCAGGAGGGGCAGAAGCACGAGGGACAGAGCGACGGCAACAGCAGGAGTAGAGTTGACACCTTGAAGCATAGAAAGTGTCTGGACGGGCAGTGAAGCCACACGAGGGCCCAGACCCGTCTGAAACCTCCTGCTTTACTCCTCCCCTGAGTGCCCCCCCTGCAGCCTCCTGCTTCACCCCTCCCCTGACTGCCCCCCCTGTAGCCTCCTGCTTTACCCCCTGCCTGGCTGTCCCCCTTGCAGCCTCCTGGTTTCCGTCTGCTTTGCCTCCCCCCTTGGGAGCCCAGTCTAATGCAGAGGGGCTTGGATCAGAGTCAAGACTCTCCTGCTTTGGCCCTTGTGCTGTAGCTGCTACTGCTGCTAGTGCTACTACTGGTGGTGGTGTTGCTGCTGTTTGTGCTGTTTCTGAGGTTACTGCTGCTGGTGTTGCTGGTGCTGCTGCAGCTGTTAAGTGCTGCTGCTGGTGGTGGTGGTGCTGCTGCTGCTGTTACTGCTTCTGTTGGTTCCAGTGTTGTTCTTTGTGCTGCTGGTGGTGCCGCTGCTGCTGCTACTGTTTCTGCCACTCCTACTGTCCCCTGTCCTCCCCCCTGCGCCAACCTCTCTTGCAGCACTGCCTGCATTTGCAGAAGCAGCTGCTTCAGCTTCTTCCGCTTGCGAGGGCTCACCTCCCCGTCGCACTGCTTGCGCTTCTGCCGGGTATCCCCGGCCAAGCTACCCATACCAGCAGACTCGATATCGTGCGGCCTTGTTTGAGAAGCCTTAAGCCATTCCCTGACTCTCGAATCAACTGTATCTGAAACCTGCGGCCGCGGTGGCACCTTCTTGCCTCCTCCTGCACCCACTTCCGTTCTTCCCCTCTCCTGCAGCCTATCCTGCACCTCCTCTAACGACTTTTGAGACGTCTCAAAAGTCTCCTGCCGCCTATCCCGCACCTCCTCTGCATCCTCTGCCTCCTCGTCACCCTTTCCCCCTTTCTCTTCCTCTTCCTCCTCGTCTTCCTCTTTCTCTTCCCCGTTCTCCTCCATATCCTCATCGTTCTCATCATCATCACCACCATCATCATTCCCTCCCTCCTCTTCCTCCTCTCCCTCTTCCCCTTCTTTGTCTTCATTTTGTTGTCCATCTCCCTCATTCCCCTCACCCCTCTGCTCCTCATCCTTACTTGCTTCCTGTCCCCGAGCCATCGGACCGGAATCTTCCTTACTCCCTCGGTCCATCGGAGCCTGGTCTGGCAAAGCTTGGTTCGGCAGACCCTGCCTCGGCAAATTTGATGCTACCTGCTGCAGGTTGGGCAGCAGAGGGATGAGAGGTAGGAGAGCGCTGTGCTGCTGGTGGGGGGGCAGCAGGCTAGCAGCAGCCACTGCGAGGTTCTTGATCATGCCAACTATTCCCACTGCCACCGCGTCTCGCTGCCGCTTCCGCTGCTTCTCCTCAGCCTGCTTCTCCTGAGCCTGCTTCTCCCGAGCCTGCTTCTCCCGAGCCTGCTTCTCCCGAGCCTGCTTCTCCCGAGCCTGCTTCTCCCGCTCCTCGACATCCTGCTTTACGTCGTCGTCCTCGTTCTGCTCCCTCTCCTCTCCTTGATGCTCCTGCCGCTTCCCCTCCTGCTGTTGTGGACTTTCCTCTTCCTCCTCCCTTTCTGCCTCTTCCTTTTCTTCCTTCGCCTCTTCTTCCTTCTCTTCTTCCTCCTCCTCGTCTTCCTCCTCATCCTCCTCCTCCTCCACCTGCTCCTCCTCGTGCCGTTCCTTCTCCTTCTCCGTTCCCTCCTGCTGTTGCTGAATTAGGGCAGTAATACAATGGTGGCAAGAAACACAATGCTCACACAATGATCGCACTAGCAGATTGGTGAAACCGGCAGCTGTAGGCACCATAAACCAAGGGTGGCAGCACCAGGTGATGAAAAGAGGGCAATGAAGACTCGGCACTGGACAGAGGGAATGGGAAACAAGATAGCCAAGCAGGGTGACTGGAGGAGCTTTGTGCTTAGCTTAAACCTGCCAAATGCCAGAGCCATAGCAACAGTGGTGAGCAGCAGTGTGCTGGATCCCGTGGGGGCCACGTCAGCAAAGTGTGCGCTGCATCTTGTGATGCCATGGAACAGATAGTGAGGAGCAGGGACACGGCATGGCAAGGGAATATCCAAGCAGCCTACCTGCGAAAGGATGCGAACGAGTGCTTGTAACGCGGATACGTTAGCTTGGAGGGTGGTGAGCGAGGAGAGGAGGGTTGCATGCTGGCTGGGGAGGGCTCCTCTGCTGCATGTGGGGAAGCTGATTCCTCTCACATTGCTTGGTGTGCTGCTGTCAGTGGCAGTAGCAGGAGGAGATGTTGTAGCGGTAGTAGTAGCAGCAGCAGCTGTAGCAGCAGCAGCAGATGTCTCAGCAGCAGTACCGGCGGTGTTTTCATTGCCTCCTCTTCTCGTGCCAGACTGGGACAGTGGAGGGGGATGATGCCGTAGCCAAACCCCTTGCTCTTGCTGCCCTCCCAGGATCACTTCAGCATGGGATGCTGTTGCAGCAGCAAGGCGGCAGGTGGCAGTAAACGATGCAGCTGCTACATCCGCCTGCTTGGCGCCGTTTCCTGCTGCGTCCGTAGCACGGACTACAGGAGTTGCTGCTGCAGCTTGTGCAGCCTCGGGAGAGGGTGGTTCGGAACCCGAACCTGCTCGGGCGGTTCGGAGCAGAGCTTCGATGAGCCTGACGACGTCTGACGACGGGGCCTTATCAGAGGGTAGTGCTGTTCTTCCAGTAGTACCTGCGGCTATGACAGAACCGGCATTCACTTGGCAATCACCTCCTGGTCGACCGGCGGCGTCGTCATCATCATCATTACTATCTTCATGCTGATATTGCCGATCGGGCGGCACTGGACAACCCATACGACAAGTAGTACCGGCGGCACCTGGCCGGGGTCGGTTCACGGCCAGTGGTGGCGATGCTTGGAGCTGCAGCTGCCGCGCCATGGCTCCACGTGGCAGCAGCCTGCCATCTACCAGTGAGGCCCGGAAGGCCTGCGGTTGAAATGAGCGCTCCCTACTAGGTTCACTGGGGAAGGGTATCTGAGGATCATGGGGTGGTGGGTGCTGTGGCATGATGGCTCCACCTGGCGGCATCCTGCCGTCCACCAGTGCGGCCCGGAAGGCCTGCCGCTGTTGAGATGAACGGTCCGGATGGTCACTGGGACAGGGCCCCTGGGAATGGGGCGGTGGCTGATTTGTCACCCCCGGTGGAGGGAGTCCTTGCTGGGGACGTTGCTGGTTGCTTCCACATCCCAATACCTCTCCTCTTCTCTCCTGAAATCCATCCCTCCCTCCGCCCCACAGGTGCCTTCTCTGCCCTGCAGCATAGTTAGAAACAGAAGCACCGGCGCTGCTGGGGTTCTGGCTGATTGTAATAGCTGTGCTACTAGCAGCAATAGTGGTGGCAGTAGCCCTGTAGGCTCCTGACTCAACATCATGTGTATCAACATGATCATGTTTCCCCGGCAGGCGCCGTTCGTTCTCTGAAAACCGCCGCTCTTCTTTCATTCTCTCGCCACCAACCCCGGTCGTTGCAAAGGGAGGGCTTCCGTCCTTTCGGTGAAGCGGCATTGCCGCTGCCGGCCGCCTGCTGCGTTTCCCCAACGGTGCTGGGCCAGTGCTGCTAGTAGTGGTAGAAGTCAGGAGACACATTGATTTTCTATTAGAGGTAAGGCTAGTTCTCTTCTCTGTTGTTTTCCCTCAGAGGATCCTCCAGAAAGAGTTGCGTTCTACTGCCACTCTACACAGTGCGACATGTGATCGAGAGTGCACAGGACTGCTAGTAGTAGCCGTGTACATTTTTCCCCTACTACTAGTAGAGACTTATTAATGGTCTGGCAAAAGCAGACTCAAATGACCTATTACCAGTATCTGATGAGGATAGAATACCTTGAGTGGATCCGATCCACCGTTGAACGCAGCGCGTTCCATCACAGCCAAGTTCAGCTTCAAAGTTGAAAAGGAATTGGGGATGGTTGGAGCATTTGAAATGCCGCATTTCACGGCCGTACGTTCTCTGCGTGGAACACTGCCCAATTCGGGGAGGGTGAGACCAGCCCGATCAGAACTGGGCAGCGGGAAAGAACGGAACAGAACAGAACGGAATCAAACGGGACGGAACGGAACGAAGCGCCATGCTAGTGCAGCCTCGGTTGGAGAACGCCCCTGGTTGGGTTGGGCGGCCTGTGGTGCGGAATGGATGCAGCTGTGCTGCTGTTTGGGAGGTGATTAGGCAGAATTGCTCGTCTGTTGTGTAGAGGGGAGCCTGAGAATTTAGGGTTTGCACTCGGCTCAGAGTACACCTAACCACCGCTATTTTCTTTCGGTCTATTTTGAACCCCCACGTGCGCAAAGGGGTATGCACCCCTCAAACATTTTTTACCAAGGGTTGTGTCGGACGTCATACGCTCTACGCAGAGTTAGTTCCTGACTCCTGAAAGCTGCGCAATGGGATGCGCAACAGGAAGCAGACTCCACACGAGCGGAAATTGTCTTACACTCGCCCGATTAAAATCTCCAGCGTCCAGCATTTGACGTCATTCGTAGTCCCCCATACCGAGGTTTCTAACAGAAAACCCCGAAAGCTGGGCAGGGTTTATATGAAAATCGGGAACAGTGCCAAGGTGGGAAGTTGAAAATAGCGGTAGCTAGGTGTAGTGTTCAGTTGACGGAAAATAATGTCCTGTTCTGCCCCGCTGGACACGATCCGCACTAAGTGCCAAAGCGGATCAAAATCCCAAGTTGTAAATACGACACATATTCTGATGTTCAAATTTGTCTGGAGTTGGACGTGACCAATCCCAGAGCGCCGACCATTTGGAAGCCAGCCTGGCCTTTTTGGTCGGCGGGGGAGGCCACACCAAAGCGAAGGGACGGAGTTGTTGGGAGGCTGTGCCTGAGTGGCTCTGGCAGTGGTAACAAAAATGAGTAACTTCATTACGCCATCTCGTGAGAAGATTGGGGTCATTGATTGGCCATGTGAGTGATTGGCAAACATAGGCAAAAATCGCAAACGGGCTCCGAATTCAACAGTTGCGCTTTTGGCACTGAGCGCCAAGAGAGTCGTGTGATGCCTCAAAATTGCCGGTCGTGAAAGTGTCGGCGGCACAGAGGCGAGGGAACATCGGGCTTAGGGCGTGGGCCCAATCGGGTTTGATCGCGACTGATCTGATCGGGGCGGATCTGATCGGGTTGCTTGTGATCACTTTGCCCGAGCCGCCCGATCAGCAAAAGTTTTCGTAGAACATTCGCGTTGGCTGCACTGCAAGCGGTGTCCCATTACCAGGCATTTTTCGCCCAATTTTAGCGAGAATTGCGAGCTGACGGAACCTTGCGGAAATATTTGTATCCTTTGTAATCTCGCCAATCCCACTCCGCACGTGCTGTTTTTTGCGGAATCTTCCACCAATTCGTGAGGGGTTGACGATACGTAGTAATACAAAGTAACATTTCGCAAGTGTCGCTGTTGCCCCGATCAGTAGCGATCAATTGATCGTATGTGATCGAGGAAAATCGACTCTGATCGGGGTGAAAATCGGGTCTGATTGAGTCATGTTGGGCGATCAGCTGATCGCGATCAGCTGATTGCCCCTGATTGCCAGAAAATGGCTTCCAGGGTTCCTGGAAATTATTGATCGCGGCTGATCGAGGCGATCAAACCGCCCGAAATCGGGTTTGGCCGTTTTCTGTCGTTTAAAAATCGGGTTTGGCCGAAATCGGGTTTGGCCGTTCATTTGATCGACAATTTTTTTCGCGAACGTCGACAAGAAGGTCGTAGCCAGGTCGTCACTTTTTGACATGTTTTGCTGGCTGTTGTGACAGACGCGGAAAAATCTCGTTTTGGATTTTCGAACGACTTGTAGCAATGGCGTCGCACACAAACAGACGACGTCGTCAGTTCAATGTAACCATCTATGCGATGTCGTCCTTTCACTGTAGATAGCGTGGTCGACATGGTGGCCGTTTCCAAGTCGTTCATTCGTCGGAAAATTCTCGGCCACCAAAACACGAATTTGATGGCCGAATTTTGCGAGTTCCGCGAACGTTTCGGCGAACATCGTTCATTGGTTACTATCGTAACGGCCTCTGGCCGAATGAGATGTCGGGCGATTTTCCACGCCCTTATGGTTTGTTTGACCAGTTTTGAAACAGGATAGTTGTGATTGGGGTCGGACGGCGGGGTGTTGTAGTTGGAATTCAATACTAGCGATACAGAAAATATTTGGTATGCTAGAATTATCTTCAAGTATTTCAACGTGCCATAAGTATTCAGCACGACATTTCAGGAAACAGCTCAGTGACTCCACACTCTCCACAGCCTGTACGCCCTCACTTTCCACTAATAAATGCATGCAACTATTGTCCCCTCATGTCCCAATTATCACATGTTCCTTGCTCGTCTTCACGAAAGACTCTGCTAGTGCCTCAACGGCACTCATAGAATCCTTGCAGAGCAGTCCAGTGCAAGGTTCATGCATGGAACTCCCAATTGCGGAAGTTTGATGCACCCCCGTTATGGCATCGTAACGACCTTGCGTGTTCACGTCGAAACTGTTACGTGGATCAGCAGCATAGGGTAACGGATCACTTGGGCATGGAGCAACGACAGTTGTTTCCCCTGGGATGGGGTTTGCATTGAACGGACCAGATTCCTCAACTGGGACTGTGCTGGTATGCTGCACGTGGGATGCTGCACATGAGATGTGTGGGATGCTGGGATGAGAGTTGCCGCAGGAACACTGCCATCGCCGTGGTCCGCAGCGCCTCTCATGAGCCTCCAGGTCGGCCGGCAGGCAGAACGACTTGCTGCCGCACCGCGAGCACAGCAGCGCCTTGCCCGCGTGTGTCAGTCGGTTGTGGTTCCGCAGTGACGCCTTCGACTTGAACGCGCGGAAACCTGGATGCTGCTCGTATTACGGGTTTGGTCGCCTGGGGTCCACTCCTCTGCTGATTTCTCCTCGTCATCCCCGCCTTCCATGTTCCCCTGCAGATCAACACCTATTCCAGGAAGCAGCACTCGACCGCACAAACTGCTTCTTTGGCTGTGTTCGACACAGCATATGGCCTTTACACCAGGTTTTGCTTCGCATGCGTCGCCACGCTCTCTTTCCTCTCGACCATGATCAAACTCTGCGCTTCAAGTATCGAGTCGCGCATCGATGTTGCACCCACCGCCTCTGCCCGTGCCTTCTCAGGCTCAGCAACTGTCGAGCTGGTTTTCAGGTTTGGAGAAATCAAGGTTTGCTGCTTTTGGAGAAGCAGCAGTGTCTGCGGCGGATGGACCAAGCACAGCGTTGTTTCTACATTAAGCATTTTATTTGTTTCTTGTTTTCCTAATACTGTTTTTTCACCTTAGAAATCTAGACGGCTCCTTGTTGTTCTTCGAGACAACTCTTGTTCCGTTCCTTGCTCTTCAGTTTCACATGCCACACCACCCTCCTGTTCGTGTTTCAACTTGAGAATCTTCAGCGCTACTACCGTATTCTCCCGGACATAACACCCTAGGGTAGATTAAAAAATACAGGAAAAAAAGGGGGGTGTCTTCTCATAGGAAAAAGCTACATAATACCCGGGTGCATATATATGGTATATTTTAGTGTTAGAGTTTTTATTATTCGACAATTTGAGTGTTTCCATGGGCTTTTTAACATCACATGTTGAGGCGCGAATGTGAGTTTCGACGCCAACGTCATCACCCCCTCGAAAAGGTCATTTGGCACCTCTCTGGCCACCTGCAGCGGAAGATTCGCCAGCACGTGGCGACAGCGAAATAATGGGCGGCGGGGAATCTCGGCAGATTTGATGTGAAAGAACCGGGAAATTTCACCGAGCGAGAGATTTTCGCGATATACTTCCGTACTTGCACCTACTCGTTAACAGCTATAATATAGAATCCGTAAGAAAAGGGGGGTGTTATAAAAAATCATCCAAAAAGGGGGGTATAGTGAAATCGAGGTCGCCCATAGCACCCACCCCGCACAAGCTACCCGGGGGTGCTCTATCATGGGGGGATGTTTTGTCCGCGAGAATACGGTAATTTATTTTCCTCGTTTGCATCTACCTTATCCCATGACAGAAGACGATATTGGCGTGGCGAAATCGCCCGCGGCAATTTGGGCATGGCGATATTGGCGTGGCGATTTCGGCGCGGAGATATGGGCGTGGCGAGATGGGCGTGGCGATATGGGCGTGAGGCGTGGCGATGTGTGGGATGGCGTGCGGGTTGCGGCAGCGTTGTTACTAAAGTAAGCACTATGCATAGTTTCTGTTGAATGGTCTTCAAATACTAACGGTGTATGAACATGTCGCGATTTTGCAGGCTACAACGTTTTCTGTGCAGAATGTGCGATTTTTTTTTTTTATCAACTCCATTCGGTATTGGCAAGTAGTGGCTGAACCCTGGTACGTACGTGGAGCAGTGTTGATTATTGACCCTTGTTTTGCAGGGGTGTGTTTATCGTTGCAGCTGCAAGGCCACTTAGAATAGACGTACCGTATTCCCCCGGATATACCACCCTAGGGTGCTTGATATGATAACTACAAAAAAAAAGGGGGGGGGGGGGGGGGGTCTT